CCCATCTTCGTGGGTGAGGTATTGGCAGGTCCTGCCGGTGCATTCTGCTTGCACACCAGGCTTCTAAGCTCCAAGCCAAGAGTGTTCCTGCCTGGAGCCCCAGTTCGTTGAGTGGCTGAGGAGGAAGGAGCATGTGAGCCCCAGGAGTTCAAGACCAGCCTGGGCAGCATAGGGAGCTGTGTTGTCTCAGAACAACACAAACAGGGTTAAAGGTGGTATTGATTCATTCCTTGGCCCCAGTCCAGGGATCAGGGTGCCACTATTGCTGGGCATCTCCCATAGAAACCTGCACTGTTCCCCTGAAAGCACCCTGGAGCCAGCTTATCACAGCATAAAGGGCTTGCTGGTTCCCTGCTCCTGCCCTGCACCCTTCCCCCCAGTGGCAGCCCATGCCATGTTCAGGTGGGGTCACCTCCCACCTTGAGGGACCCTAAAATCCTGGGCGTGAGAAGCCTGGGAGGCAGCTTCAGACTTCAACCTGTAGTCACTACCTTGTCTTGCTGAGAACTGGCTTTAGGGTTCCTGTCCCAGTCTAAATCCCTGTGTGTCTTGCTCATCCCTCAGAATCTGAAGCTGGAAGGAACCGAGGATCTTTCTGATGTTCTTGTGAGGCAGGGCGACTGAGGCCTGGTCGTCTCCAGTCTGGGTGAACGAAGATATGGGTGCTGCAACAAGGCTGTCACCAGCGACCAGAGTGCCTGTCATGTGCTTGTCACCATCACTGTCAGTGCTGTGCCCGAGGCTCTGTGCACAGCTGACTGACCCACTTGGGCAGGATAAGGAGCATGGCAGCATGAGCTCATGACCCAACTGTGATCAGTGTCCACTGTGTATTGGGTGCTTTGTCTCCTCTATCCATCTGTTATTTTCCACTTTACTCTTGTAGAAAAGAATTGTTCCATAGCTGCTTAATGTTCTTGAGAGCTCCCTCGTCTGTGTATATAAAGTACTCTGTGTGTACACTTATAAATGTATATATAATGCTAAAAAATGAAATCTTCCTGAAGGATGTAGTGGATACCTGCATATCACTAGGTGTGTGCTATTAGTGTTGGGTATGGTTACTCCTCCCTGGGCACAGTCACTGTGAGGCAGGAAGTGCTGGAGGATGTGATCCACCTGGTGGGAGAGTGGAGAAGGGAGCAGTTGCTGCCTGGAGGGGCGACTCCAGGTGGGATCCATGTCTGAGCTCCCTTGGAGTCTGCAGGGGCAGGGTATGGTGACCCCAACTCAGGAAGTGCCTACCAGTCACTTTGCGGTTGTTGTATTCGGCCTCCACATCCCTGGAAGCAGCACATGGTCACCACAGCACGTCACAGGTGAGGTGATGCCTGAGGCAGCTGCCTGGGAGCCACAGTTCCTGGCCACCAGGTCATGAGCCACTTGCAGAGAGAGCAGTGGCACCCAGCTCCTCAGAAGTCAGCACCCACAGATCTAAACTTTCTTCCCATTATCTCAGGGACCCACAGAGTACACTGCTTGCAGCTTGGAACAGGATTGCAAGTATGGACCTGAGGAATTCTGTTCTTGGTGGTCCTTGGCTCTGCTGGAACCCCCGCCCCCTCCCTCACTAGCTCAGTCAAGATCTCAGATGCTAGTCCAGAAGCAGCAGGGTATGGGGCTAGGGATTTAGCTCAGTGGCACCGTGCCTTCCTGGCAAGTGCAAGGTCCTGAGTTCGATTTCCCATACTACCACCAAAAACCAAAACAAAACACAGGGTATGTAATTGGTGATTATTCTTGATACTAACATGTTCCCAAGCTAAAACCATACCAAATGCAAGCCAGAAATGTGCTCCCCACCTGCTCTGCTTCATCACTTGTGATGGGCCTAGTGGGACAGCAGCACAAGTTTCCATTCTGGTGCACTCAGTCCTCGTGCTTGCCCTTTGGTGCCAAGAGCAGCTCTCAGAGCTCACTTGCCCCTCTGTTGCACTTCTCTGCTATGGGGTCTGGACCTAATGAACTCCCCTTTCCATCTGCTCCCAAACTCCTCCCTCACATGACTCATGGGTGCTGAGGCCTCAGTGCTTGTGTCCCTTCCACAATTGCCTGTGTTGAACCTAATTCTCAAAAGTAATGTGATTATGAGGGGGCACTTCAGATGTGAATGTTACAAATGAGATTAGTGTTCTTGTAAGAGGCTGAGTGCTTGTTCGCCCCTTCTCCCATTCAAGGACACAGCAAGAAGGCACCATCACTAAGCCAGGAAACAGCCCGTCCCACCCACCAACTTGCCAGGGCCTTGACAGACAGACAACCCACCCTCTAGAGCTGGGTGATTTCCTGTCGTCTATAAGCCCCCATCTACAAGCATAGAAGGACCAGCCCAGGCAGCCATGTGTGTTCCACTTAGTTTTCTGCCATAAGATTTTCACTTGAGTGTTTTCTCTTTTGAGATTCCCTATTCATTGTCAAATTATTTGAGCATTTTCTTTTTAAATTCTTTTCGAACATGCTTAAAATAGCAATTCTAGTTTTTGTCAGCTAATCTGAGCCCTTGTAGCATCAACTGATTACTCTTTTTCCTGAATATAGATTACAGATTCATGTTTCTTTGCATATTTAGTCATTTTTGGCTGAAACTTGGGTATTGTAAATGAAGTGTCATGGTGAGTTTGGATGCTGTTGTTTCCTCTGCAGATGTGTAGATTTTTAGTCTGATAAGCAGTGAATTTGCCTGGATTAAAACCTCAGACTTTACGTCCCTCACAGTCTGCAGTTACTGAGATCTGTACTGATTGCTCTCCGCCTTTTGCTGTCACACCTGATCGTCTCTCTTCTGCTTGCCTGTTTGGGTGCTTAACCAGGGATGTGGCCATCTCCATGACTCCTACTCTCCAGTTTCTGGGTGCCCTACCTGCCTTGGGCTCTGTCCTTCCAGCCTGTCCAACTTCCATTCTTTGTGACACAGGTGGGGGCACCAGATTCCTGGCTCTTGTCTCATGGCCCCCATTTACACTTCTACCTGCTTTCCCTCCCTTGGATTCTGTTCTCTGGCATCTTTGGCAAAAAACCTTGGTGTCCCCCACCACTGTCTCATACAGCATAGCCATGGGGATTGGGCAGCAGTCTAGAGCCAGTGAGCCACAAGCTTCATGTCTGGTGTATACGGGGGCAGTTAACCTTCAATTTATAAATCTGATTGAAGGAGTCACACTGGAGCCACTGTCATGTTTTAGGAACAGATCTGAGGTGCTGTACTCACATTTGGACCTGCTTTAGTTGACATTCTGGGCTTCCAGTCAATGTTCAGTGGGGTGTGACTTCCAGGACCCTCAGGGAAGATGAAGTGTATTTTGCATATAAAAGTCTTGTGAATTGCAGGAGCCAGCCTCCAGGATAACAGTACCTCACCCCCTCCCATATTTTTTGTAGTTCTTTCTCATATTAAATCATGCCCCTGTGCCTCTAGCAGAATATTGAAACAGTAGTAGTGTATGGCTTCCACGGCTAAGGGATAAAATACATTGGAACTCACACAGTGCCAGCATGTAGATCATTTGCTCCGGGTGGAAGCCACTTGCAACTCCAAGGGATACTCAAAAAGTATTTGGAGAGGCCCTTGTGAGAGAAATGGAGGCCTCTGCCAACAACCCACACCCACTTGCCATGTGAGGCACATGGATGCGGGTCCTTCACAGATGGTGTGGCCTGCAGCCTCCTGGAGACCTTGCATCGGAGCTAAAACCAGGTCCTGTGGCAGGTTAGCCCCTGCTGCCACCCTGAACTGTGCCTTCTAGTACATGGTGTGATACTGGGACAGGACCATGCAGTCACCTAACCACTGGTATATTTGAGCATTTCTTCTCAGGTCAAGTGGCAATCTGGATTGCTTTTCTATGAATTTTTTATTCATAGTCTTTAATAATGGGTCCTCTTTCCTGGCAAGCGTGTGAGACTTATTTGGAGAGTTTAGAATCCAGTCTAGAAAATGAGCCTGCTGTTTTGGGATATATCCCTTGTAGGCTGGTGTGTTAAATGCTTTGTCTCAGTCTGTGGCACTGTGGCCTGGTGGGAGGAAACTAGGTCACTGAGGATGTGGCCTTGAGGGGACATGGACCCCTTTCCCTTCCTGTGTCTTTGCTTCCCACCATGAGGTGAGCAGTTTCCTCCACTATGCAGTACTACCTCACCACATGCCTAAAAGCAACAGGCAATTTGCCATGGAGTGAAACTTCCAAACCGTGAGCAAAAGTAAACCTTTCCTCTTCTTACCTTGATGTCTTAGTAACTTCCCATTGCTGGACATAATACATGGCACCCACATCTTATAGGAGGAAAGGTGTGTTTTGGCTCAGGTTTGTAGTCCCTAGCTGGCTGGCTCCAAGGCAGGAGGGTGGGCCGGGAGGGTCTGGTGGAGGAGAGCTGCTCAGGTCATGGCGTCATGGCAGCCAGGAAGTAGAGAGAGAGAAGGGAGGGGCTAGAGAGGGAGAGATTTTTCCAGGCCACACCCTAGTGGCCTCTGGGTTGAGCCCAGTGCTTCTCACATGCAACACATGCTCTACCACCGAGCTACATCCCCAGTCCTTTTTAATTTTTTTCTAAATTTTGAGACAAGATCTCGAAATTTGTAATATTCCTGCCTAAGCCCCTAGAGTTGCTGGGATTACAGGCATAAGCCACTGCTGCTCTCTTATATTCCTCTTTTGCAGATCTTGGCTATTTATTCACCCATGTAAATACACCTATGCAAGAATGCGACATTCCCTCCCACCTGTGCAGGTCAGATGTGTCAAGACTTATATACGTTTTCCTCCTGTGATCTCTCCCTTTCACACACATGTCCTATAAGTGCCACTTATTTCCTTAAATAAGCTCAATGAATGTTAATTGATCACAAGTAGAAAGATGGACCCCAAAGCTGCAGTGTCTGTAGTAAGAGACCCACCCTTCTCATCCCTTGAAAGCCAGAGGCAGGAGAGCAGGGCCCCGCCTACCACAGGGTGGAAGCACCAGCACCTACGGCTGCCATCCCAAATCCCGCCAGCAGGGGGAAGTGTCGTGCAGTCCTGGGTCCTGGGCTGGGTGGTGCAGGCAGTGAGGAGCAAGGCCAGGAGTTCTGAGGCCTCGGTAGGGGTCTGGGGGGTGAAAGCGCATCCCTTGACTGAGCCAGGATCCGGCACTCTTTGGTCACAAGGCCCACTGTTTTTTCTTATTGCACTCCATGCAGTGCACAGATAAGGACGAAACTCCTAAAGGAGGGAAAGGCCCTGCAGTGGGCACCGAGGCCCTTTCCAAACCACTTGCCAATCTTGCTGGCCTTTGTCAGCCTTGCAGACCAAAGTCACTTTTTAGAGTTTTTATTCTTGAGCTAGGGATGTAGCTTGGTGGTGCCATGCCTGCCTGGCAAGTGCAAGGTCCTGAGTTCAATTCCTGGTACCAAAAAACAAAAATAGTGTTTTCATTTTTGTTTCTCATATGAGTCAGGCCTGGTGTCATTTTATGTGGTAAAACATTTGTAATCACATGATCCAAGAGGTCCAGTCCTGAGTATACATTCAGAAAAGCAGGAACTCGGGTTCTTAAACCCAGTTCACAGCAGCCCTGCTCACAGGAGCCCCATGGAAAGCAACCCAGACGCAGGCAGATGTTTTTTGTATCGTTTTCTTAGTTTTCATTGCATTGATTTCTGTTCTAATCTTTATAATTTCCTCTCTTGTTCGAGCTTTGGGTTTTTCTTGCTCTTGTTTTTCTAGGAGTCTAAGATTCATCATTAGGTTGTTAATTTGAACTTGCTCTGTTTTCCTAATGTGGACATTCAGTGCTATGAATTTTCCATGCAGAACTGCTTTCATTGTGTCCCATAGATTCCTGTATGGTGTATTGGCATTTTCATTTATTTGTAAAAACTGTCTAATTTCTTTTTTAATTCCTTCTGTGATCCATCGATTGTTCAGGAGAGTGTTGTTCAATTTCCATGTGTTTGTAAAGTTCCTACAGTTTCTTATGCTACTGATCTCCAGCTTGATTGCGCTGTGATCTGATAATATACAGGTTATAACTTTGATTCTTTTGCATTTATTCAGACCTGTTCTGTGAGTTAGTGTGTGGTCTATCTTGGAGAATGACCCATGTGCAGCCGAAAAGAATTTATATTCTGATTTTGTGGGGTGGAACACTCTATAGATGTCTATCAAGTCCATGTGTTCAAAAGCTTGGTTGAGTTCTAGTATTTCATTGTTGATTTTCTGCCTAGGGGTATTAGTGCTAATTTGGTTTTTCATGTTACTTAATATTTGTTTTATATAGTTGGGGGCATTAATATTTGGTGCATATATGTTTATGATTGTCATCTCTTCGTTTTGAATTGTTCCCTTTACAAAGATATAAATAATGGCCTTCTTTGTCTCTGTTAATGAGTTTTGGTTTGAAATTTACTTTGTCTGTGAATAGATTGTCATCACTGCTTTTTTCTAGGCTCCTGTTGTGTGGAGAATTGTTTTCCATCTTTCCACTTTCAGTCTATGGGCTTCTTTTTGCACTAGGTGTGTTTCTTGTATACAACATATTGTTGGATTTTGCTTCTTAATTCATTCTGCCAGTCTGTTTCTCTTGATTGGTGAATTGAGGCCATTGACATTGATGGTTATAACTGATATGTACTGACTTATTATTGACATGTTATTGGCTTTTTGTTGACTCTTTTTACTCCTCCCCCCCTTCTTTTAGTTTCTTGCCTTGCCTATTTGATTTGGTCTATTGGGCCTCATGGTGTTGTGACCTTCATTGTCTTTTCCTAGGATATTGTTTAGAATTCCTTGTAGTGCTGGTTTGTTGTTCATGAAGTTTCTCAGGTGTTCTTTGTCATGGAAGTATCTTATTCCCCCATCCATTTTGACAGAGAGTTTTGCAGGATACATCAGTCTAGGTTGGAGGTTGTTTTCCTTTAGGACTTGAAATACCTCACTCCAGGCTCTCCTTGACCTGAGGATTTGTATTGAAAAGTCTTCTGTGATTCTGATGGGCTTTCCTTTGCATGTGATTTGTTTCTTTTCTCTTACTGCTTATAGTATTTTTTCTTCTGTTGGATTTCTGGGATATATGTCTAGGTGTAGATCTTTTTTGATCATCCCTAGTTGGAGTCCTATATGCCTCAGTTATCTGAATGTCAAATTCTTCCCTTCTGTTTGGGAAGTTTTCTGTCATTAATTCTGTGAACAGCTTTTTTTAAGTCATTTGTATTTTCTCCTGCTACTCCATGGATTCCTATCAGTCTTATGTTATTCTTCTTGGCATCATCTAGAAGATGTTGGATCAATTTCTCATGATCCCTTACTGTTTTTAAGAGTGCTCTCTTTTCACAGTCACTGACTGCAATCCTATCTTCTATATCTGAAATTCTATCTTCTCAATCTTTTATTCTGTTGCATTCACTTTCAATAGAGTTTTTAATCTCCTGGATATCTGTTTGAATCTGTTTTATGGATTCCATTTCTTTACTCTGTTGGACATTCATTGTTTCCATTTCTTTCTTATGCTGGGCCTTCATGGCTTCTCCCATGGTCCTGAGCTCATCTATTTTTTTCTCAGTTTCTGTTCTAGAGTCT